CAGCAAAGAATAATAGAATAAAAGTATATATATAATATATATGTACAAATTCATTTTATTTTTAATAAATTATTGCGACAATTTCAATTTATAAGTTCAACAACTAATTTGAACCATTTCCAAATGGTATCTGGCACGTCTCGCCCCTGGTAACAATTAATGCTGACAAAATTGAAATTTGTTTTTCGTACGCAGAGGCTATCAGCATGTTAGTTATACCCTGTAAAATAAATTTGTGGTGAGTGAGAGTTAAGTGGTGCAAAGTAACAGAAAACCAAAATGCCTTATGGCTGAGTATTAAGATTGAATCTGGGAACTAAGCTGGCTAGAGACCAACACTTCAGATACATGTTTACCACAACAGATATTTGGCCAAAATGAACATAATGAAAACGTTGGCTGCTAAAATTCAAATTTATAAAAAAATAATTCGAATTCACGAGACCTAAGAATTAAGATCCATCAACCCGAATATAAATTGTGCCCTTACAGGGCATTGACTAGTCATTGACACTTTTCTTTATGCCATATTTGCTTAGTCAAGATGAATTATATTCATATATTTTGTGAATTTTTACCATTAAAATAGCGTAGGAACATGTGAATGGCGCGAGCCACATTGATAAGCTCAACAAATATAACACCATATACAAATACACATGTATTCATGTATATGAGTGTATGTATATTTATTTCTCTATATATATCCCTCTATCTATACATTTTGACGATGTGCTAATCTAGGGTCACGCCCAAATCAAATGCTCAAATTTTTAGAGCCAGAAAGCAAAAAGCAAAAAAATCATGCGAGCCAAATGTGCAAAAATACTCGTAAAAAATAAATATAAAAGCGAAAAGCAAAACAATCTTTAGAAAAACAAAACGCTATTATTTATGTGCGTGTAAACATTTTGATGGATCTAAATGGAATGGGTACTTGAAAAGAAAATACAGCCAACATTTGTTTTGTATTCGAGCACATCGTAACTCGCTTTGTAAATACTTGCATATTTATACGTATCTTTTATATTCGGATTTATTAAAAAATATTAAATCAATAATTTTCTTTAACTTTGGAACATATAGAAAAGGAAATACGAAAGAGATTCAACATTAATGTGTTAATGTCATGAAAACTGATTGAACGATTGCAGCAAAAATATTGTCATCTCGCGCAATATTTACATACATTTTAATTATATTGTGTTGGAAAGGAAAATGATGAGTCAAAGACTGCAGATCTGAAGTGGCGTAACCTTGTCTGGGAATATATATTGTTTCTAGTATAAACAATTTACCATCAGGGAATTTTTTCCCTAATATACATATGCATATTGGGTACTATATTCTTTGTAGTACTACGAAGTATTACATTTAAATCTTTTATTTACAAATACCAAAATTTAAAAAATTATACAAAAAATCAATAAAAATTAAATGAATTTAATATTAAAAATAATTAATAAATAAATGCATATTTATTATTTATTTTTTCAGTTTATTATTTTGCTTAAAACTAAAAATAAAATTATATATATAATCTAAATAAAATAAAATAAAATATTATATATCATTTAAAATATTTCCGTCGTATAATTAGTTGAATAAAAACCGTACGTATGTGGGAATCTTAATATTGAAAAATAATTCTGAAATATACATTTCATTCTCAGCGTTGAATTTCAAGACAGAATTTGTTTTAGATCGTAAGTGAAATATTAGCTTTGTATACAGAAATTTAATTAAAAGAAGCTACTGCGATGCTAATTTAATTTTAGCTAACACATTTTTATAAACTGGATTTGTATAGCACTTAATTTTGCTCTAAGTATGTTATCTTAAAAACATATAAGAACAGTTTAATTGCATAGTGAATCTTGACATCCCTGACATGGTCGTCATCTAGTTAGCGCATCTTGTTGGAAAATCAGAAATGGCAAAACTGTTTAGTTAACAATTACAGTAAAATATTCATTATAGTCCGTTCACAGAACTGTGCTGGTGTTAACAAAGAGATATGAAATTGCCACTTCAACCTTCATCAATATAGACAAACGATATGGTGTTAACATTATACACAGTCCAATGCCTATGTGGCACGTCACGTTTCACTAGAGACAGCAGTCACCTGACCTGGGGAAACGCTGATTCAGCAGCTAAGTTCAAAAGCCAGTGGCCGCACTTGCCAGATGGACAATAAATAAGTCACAAATAAAAAAGCCTGAAAAATCGACTCATATTTAACTTGCGTCAATTACAACGAAAGATTAGCCTCGCTCTAGTTTCGAATAATGAGGCGCTACGTCTATATAAATCAGCGTACAGATAATACAATACGAAATAAATCGTCGCTGGGGGCAGCTAAAAAAAGAAAATATATAACTCGACTGGACCGACTGACTGCAGCTTATCATTGTCGTCATTCACAAAAAAAAAAAAACATTTTATAAATAAACGTTAAGTTTACAAAGCGCTCAACCAAAAATAGCGACCGATCGGAGACCTGAAAGATGAAAGCCCAGTTGCTTACTGTACTCTATGACGTAATATATATCATATGCAGTTTACAGTTAAGTCTGACTTATATATTAAAAATAAACGCGATCAATACATATTTTCGGGCTTCAAGTTCAGTTGCACTCGCAGTTTTTTTCCATCAGCTCCAACAACACGCAGGGATCAGCTGTCGTGCAGTCTTATCTCTCCCCGACATCGACCACATTATTCTGTAATAAATATATATATTTATATATATATAAATACGTATATATGTATGTATGTAAAGAAACGTTGTTGTGGCACGTGGCTACCAAATGAATGAATTGAAATGTTCGCAGAATATTATAATATCATTAGGCGCCGGCTCGTGCACACATATTTGGCAAGAAAGGAAAATAAAAACAAAAAAAATACAAACTGTATACGAAAGAAATATTAATAATAAAATCCAATTAATTAAAGCCATGCGAACGTCGATTCGGCGAAAATTTATGGCATTCAATTTTTCATAAAAACCGCAAATATTTGCCCCGGTCGAAAGCAAACTCTTCTTTCGTAAGTAAATATTGGGAAGTCAAATATTTGCACGCTACTGACTCGTTAGTCGCATTTTGCGCCACGCTTAAAAGTATTCAATGGTTTTTTTAACCTACCAAAATTTAAGTTTTCTAAGCTTATTGAAAGAACTTCGAAATTGTATATTGAATTTTTGCAGCGCACGTCTTTCTGCCCGTACACTTGTCTGTATGAACTCAAATTATTGTGTCGCTGTCGAAGGTAGAGACTTGAATTTGTAAACGTTTTCAGCCGTTAGCTGAAAAAATATAAAAATATTTTGGATACGCCCGCTAGGAGCACGACCAATCGGATACAACGTTACCTTCAAAAGGCGTACACCTAAACCATAAAATTCAACGTGAATTACTGTTGATATTGGCTACATAAATGTGCACAAAAAACTATATATAAGATATTTAAAAGGTTTTTATTTAAGAAAAGTTGCGTTTTACTTAAATGCAAAATTAAGACTAAATGTAACAGTGCAGCGTGGGTGATTTTAATTTTTTTATTTGTAACTCTGCGGCGTTTCTAAATTATAACTTATAATTCTTAACCGTAATTTCATAGTTTTTGATCTACAGTCGTAAAATTCAGGTGGATCACCACCACATGAATAATTATAAATTATATAGGACGTCCATTGGGTCATGCAAAATCAGAAAATATTCATTTTAGACTTAACTGTTTATGCAGTCAGTCACAATCGACCGCAACATTCTTACTATTTAGTAATTGTCTAGGCTCAAGAGGATTAACATATCTCCTCTAATTAAGAAATATTTTTTTTTGGTAGATATTAAAAATTACTATTAAAAATGTTGAATCTTTTATCGATTGCAAATGCTAAATATTCCGTATAATAATATAATTTTTTTAAGAGATAAAGAAAATTGTTTTAATTGAGTCTCCGATTGATCCAATTGTATAGATATGGCTTAGATATATAAATTTATATATTTATCTATTTATTTATATATATATATATATATATATATATATATATATATTGCATTATTTGTAGATCGTATGATCAAACAGTTAATGAATCACCTTGCCAAAGCTATAGCCGTAGCAATAGCCATTGGCCAAACCATATCCAATTCTAACGCCTAATTTGCGCGTGACTTTGATGTATCAGTATATGGGCAGCATTTATATATATATATATAGATATATCAGGTGTACAGAGCTGAATATTTAATAGTAAAAAGAGAGAGACTGGGAGAAAGAGACCTGAGCTTACTGTGTAGGTGGCTGATTAGCTGAGTGTGGGTGAATGGGTAACTGGGTGGGCATGTACACTATTCAAACAACATTAACAACAAAAGCAACAATAAGCTCATTAGTTAAGCAATGCATAATAACAATAACAACAACAATAACTGCTGTATCCAACTGTTCTATAGGAAAAGGAAACAATATTTCGCTGTAAACAATTTCCTATTATTATTTATTTATCATGCTTATCGCTTGGGTAGCTCTCAGTGGCAAATGCTTAATTGTTTTTCTTTCTTTTTCTCTGTGCATTTGTTTACAATCATTTTCACAGGTGTGAAGGTGAGAAGGTGTGTGATGAAGTTGATATTGCTAATCAGGCAGTAGCAAGGCCTGATAACGACATGGACAACAGCTGAAGGGCGTGACGAACTCAATTTGGCAAAGAGTGGGCGTATCACTAATAATTTGGACATACATGGATATCCATATATAAGTCAAATAAGTCTTGGCTATGTGGCAATAGATTGTTACCGAAAGTGAAGCGAAGCTCCAGAGAGACTTAGCTGAAAAATAATATATAAAAGATATACTGAATATGAAATAGATTTAACGTAAATGGTGCCCTGCGAATTTTTGTTGTGAGAGTGAATATAATAATAAATAATATAATATATAATATATAATTCTCTAACTGGCTCCAACTATATAAGCACTTAATAAACATGTCAACTACCCCAGCCAAAGATGATCCGCAACCCATCTATCTAATCAACTTTGAGGCCTATCTGAGACCCAAGCAACCGCACAAGATAACGCCACTTCAGTGCTTCGGCAGACCGCAAAAGCCAAAATCCAAATGTAATAAGTTCCACCAAACACTGCAAAGAATTAAACTCCTCCGATATTGGCGCACGCAACATGCGAGATTCGCAAAGAGTCTGAGACAGCTGCCATTGCCGAGCTTTCTCAGCTTTCTGCGCGCCCGCCATGATGATGGCCTGTGCAAATCGAAGACGGGCTTTGAGATCTACTGTGAAATGTCGAGCATACATGGATTTCATGTATTCGTCGGAGCTTGTACCTGGCAGCGTGTGCTCTGGTGGCTGATCATCTGCACGGCTGTGCTTCTCTCACTTCTCGTATTGATCATGTCATATACCCTGTCGGCGGAGACGCCTACTGTAAGGTACATCGAGAGCATGCTACAGCCCATGTCGGAGCAGTCTCGAAACTTTCCGGCATTAAGTATATGTAGTATGAATCGTATATCGAAAAGTCAGCTGAAAGCGAAAGAATGGTCGTTGCCCCCACAAGTGCTGCCCTGGCTAACTAAGCACAATTGGAATCCGAATCCAAATGATCGAACACTGCTATCTGACAACATAAGCTGGTCCCAGCTGCTGGAGTCTCTGGCTCCACGCATTTGCGAGTCTCAGGTCTTGGCCTGCCTGTGGCAGGGCTTACCTCACAGCTGCGACCAGCTGTTCACCACCAGCTGGAGCTACAGCGAGGGTCGATGTTGCACCTTTAACGAAACGCCCATCCACACAGCTGGCAATCCAGCTAAGGGCTTAACATTACGCCTATCTAGCCAACTAGAGGACTATGCTAGCTCACGGCATTCCGCAGCTGGTTTTCAGTTGTTGCTTCACGATGTGCATTCTGGCATTCATGCAGCTACAGAACGTGTGCTCCTACCTCGTGCCACAGAGGCTCATATCATGTTGAAGTCGTTTAGTACGCATGCCACGCCTTATGTTAGCGGCTTAGAGCCAGCTAAAAGAAACTGTTATTTGAACCAAGAGCGCCAGCTTTTCTACTATCCAATATACAGCCAAGCGAATTGTGTGGCAGAGTGTGAGAGTGAACAAATGCTCGAGACTTGCGGCTGTGTGCATCCCCATATGCCGCGGCGTTCGCAATGGCCTCTTTGTCAACTCGAACAGCTCAAATGCCTAAGAGAACACGGTAAGTAGGCACAAGTTTGATTGCACGGATCATTAAAAAACAAGTAAGAAAAATTCTAGATACTCTGAGCGCCGCTAGGAGAAACACTGAACTGATACCCCTGATACCTGAACACATTGAAAATGTTAATTTAGGGTTAAATTGTTTTGTTAAAATGTATGTAACGGGCAGAAGCAGTCGCGGCTGAAGCCATAGCCATAAAGTACATTCTTGATCAAACAACGAGTTGAGGTGATCAAGCCGTCCGAGCGAACGCAGCGGTCTCGTAAGCCACAAATGCTAGAGAATTCAAATTTTGAGGTACACTTATGTATACTATACACAGTACAAGCTTATCTTATCATCCTTTAGATTTTCGATAACTCATTCCATTTCCTTATTATTAATAAAAATTGATAATTTGATTTCCTCTTTTAAGCGTGCCTTGAATACCATAGATATTGGATGCTTGAGATTTACCATGTAGTTTTCAGCAGTGAATAGAAGGGTTTTGAATATTTTGAATTTTAGATACGTCCCCAAATACTAGAGATTGCTTAGGCAAATATAAGCATCTGGTTGGCATAATTATGTGCCGATTGTGTTAAGAGCATTGATTGTTTCATATAAAATATACTCGCACAAGCTTTGGTAATACTTAGTTGCCCTAATCAATGAATGTTTTCTCCAGGTTACAGTTGGAAATACTTAGCTGCCTAATCAATGACTGTTTTCTCTAGTTTACAGCTGGGATCAGCTGCAAAGCTCCTGCAATTGCTTGCCATCCTGTCAATTCAAGCGCTTTGAAATACAAATCGATCTGACAGCACTGAATGATAGCTATCCTATAATTCTAGCGAATGGGAATATTTCCTTCTTGTAAGCATGTTTGATATTTATATTGATGGGGTGGTTTAAGTGATATGTATATATACCTATAATTATTTTATGACAGCAAGAACTTTAATGGCTCGGACGAGGTTCTACTACACATTTATTTTGATTCATTCAGCGAGGAGCGACTGCGTTTGGATGTCTATGAGAATTTGCTGACTTTTATAGGTAAGTACAGTGGAACAGGGGTATATGAAACTCTGAATGCTAACAAACCTTAAGGGAGAAACTCACGAGCTATACGCTTAAAGCAATATTAAATTAATAGAGAAATGTTGTATATACACAGCAATCAATCAAGGTGGTTTAGATAGAGACACGTAACTTTTGTCATTTGACGAAACTTGAATATAGATATTTTATTTAAGCAGTCACAACAGCTGAGCTATGGAGTCTGCCTATTATACTTTGTCAGCAGCTTCAAGAAGAAAGAAGATATAGAAAGTTAGCTAAATAAAAAAAAATTAATTTTAAAAAAGTTTTTAAAGTTCAGATCAAGGGCAAAATAGCCACGTTCACTATAGAGAAGCTCAACTGTAAGAAACAACCATTTAGACCTATATTTAATAAACAACTTATCAATTGTCATTTGACAGGCACCTTTGGCGGCATCACCGGCCTATTTATGGGCTGCAGCTTTGTGTCTGTGTTCGAGCTGATATTCTTTGTGTGTGTGCGACCCACATGTAACTGGCTAACTCGACAGCAAATACGCTATAGACGTCGACGTCAACAGCGAGCTATAAAGGCTAATTAGGACAAGCTAATTAGCTTGACTTCCAAATAGGTAGACCACATTAAGTCAGTTGCCCGAAGCGCCTTCTGCTGTTCAACATGGCCTTTAAGAAGCGACGCATCTTTGATATGCAATTGGTTCAATCACAACAGCTCCTAAACAAGGCCACTGAAAGTCATAAGAGTAGCAGCATAAACACCATCGAAAAAACGTCCAAGCTCTGGAAAAACTATAAAATTCGTGAGGTGCGAACTTGGTTCATGGAGAGCTTGCGCAATTATTGCCAAACAACATCGCTGCACGGCTTTAGCTACATTACGCGTCCGGATATCAGTCAGAACGAACGTTATTTTTGGCTTGGCGTGGTTATAGCCGCTATTATTAGTGCCATATCTCTGGTGCTTGCCTCTTGGTACTCGAATCGTGAAACACCTACTGTGACTGTCATCGAGAGTTCACATTTTCCCACCTGGAATATCCCTTTTCCAGCGGTAACTATATGCAATTTTAACCGGGTGTCCAAGACAAAAGCGTTAATTCTGAAGCGGCATATGTAGGTGATATCGAATAATCTTTAAGCGAGGAGTTTGTTATATAATTTTGATACTTTTCAGGCAGTTGCCACAGAACGTAACCCAAACGGAGCTAGAGCAACTCTTTAATCTAACCTTATTACCCGCTGGTCAAACAGTTAACAATAGTTCATTGGAAATCTATGATAAAATATTGAATTTGAATAATATGACGCTTATGGAATTGACGAATCGTCTTTCACCCGATTGCCTAGACATGATTTCACGCTGCATTTGGAAGGGCATTAAGACGCGCTGCGAGAGTCTGTTTCAACACGTTGTCACCTCGCAGGGTATCTGCTGTAGCTTCAACTTTTTTGGTGCCATGTCCAATAATTTTCCAGTGTAAGTGATTCTAACTAACTGAATATCTTACTTATATAAATTGAGCAAATAGAAATTATTAGATTTTTAGAAAACATGTGTTTTGATGTCACAAGACATTTAATCCAGGTCCAAATACGTGTAGTTCGCTTTTAAGTTTCGAAATTACATCAAATTTGGCTATACGTCATAACGCTTGATTCATATAACTAATATATTTTTATATGAATAACTTTCTAGTATAATGGCCAACATAATATTAAATAGCATGTTCAAATATTGCTTCCAATTAGAGCAGTCATTCTCCCTTTCAATTGAATCTACATGATGCCCTGGCCTTATGTTAGTCATGGAGTAGCATGCAATATTAATATATTAATATTAACACATTATTAATGTCTGCCATATTTAATTAAAAAATAAAGATGGATCCTCAAATATATAACTATGAAAGTTGCTGTATTCATAGATATTAATAATAATTAAAATATGGCGTATTTTAGATCAATTTCCTTTTAACTCATTGATTTCATATCCGACCCCAACTAATTTCTTCTTTTAGTAAAATCGCCTACCAAGTGCCCAAGCGGCCTTATCGAGTAACCGGCTGTGGCTATACGACGGGTCTATCAGTGCTGCTTGATCCCATGGTAGCTGATTACTATGGTACCTTCTTTAGTGGCTTTGGCTTTCGTTTGCTCATTCATGATGCCTATAATTTTCCGGATGAGAATTCAGAAACTAAGGTGGTTACATCCACTCGGGAGAGCTTTGTGCGCATCAATCCCGAGTCGACGTATGCCACGAAGGATATACGGCAGATGGACTTGCGCTGGAGGAACTGCCTCTTTGGCGGAGAACGTAAGTTGGATGGGATTAAACGCTATTCGTTTATCAACTGCATGTTCGAATGCAGGATGAAGATGACTCTTCAGCGTTGCGGCTGCCTGCCCTCCTACCTAACCAACAATGACAGCATCAAGATCTGCGGCGTGCTAAATATGAATTGCATGCTCGACAGCAAACGTGAGTAGTAAAGGACGACATTTCGAAGACTGTTCGAGGAGGTCCTTTAGGCATAAATATTGAGTTCTTTTCTGAATTCCTATACATTTAGGCTTCTTTTCCCGCGCCCTGGCTAATCTAGACGCTCCGCTCTCAATAGTACGCAATACGAAAAACTTTCCCTGCAATTGTTTGCCTGACTGCGAATCGAATCAATATGTTTCCGAGAGCACTATGGGCAGACTGGATGCCAACTACTCCCGCAGCAAGCTGACCCACAGGCAAGACAGTCTTTAAAATATTACACTTATAATACAACTTAATTGCTGCTTACAAATTATAGTTCCAATCGCACAGATAGCATATTGGTGCATGTCTTTTATAGCGACCTAATGTCCACTAGATATCGTAAGGAGATCTTTCAGAACTGGCTTTCAGCTTTGGGTAAGCTCTCAGTACTTGATAACTCCTATGATTATTAAACATATTTTATTTTCTTAGCGTCATTTGGCGGTCTGCTGGGTCTTATTATGGGCTTCAGCATTGTCACGGCTTTCGAGTTTATTTACTTTCTCACATTTCGTCCAGTATTCAACTACATCAATCGAGCCAGGGATTAAGTGTAGCTTTACCTAAGCACTTTAATAATACTTTAATAATCTTAAGAGCGCCCACCTTAAATGCACAAAATTCAGCAATCTTCAGCAATAAATAGGACCTGAAGTTCCTATCAATCTACTACATAATATTGTCATTTTATTAGATGCAGACAAGTCACATTTATGTACAGTAGATCCACAACCTGGTAAACCACTTGAAATACATTCAGATAGGATCCAATGCAAGGTGAAACGTGTGTTGTTTATTTAGTTAAAGTATCCCAGCTTCTTGACCTCACCAACCATGGCGGTAATCGAGTCCAACACTTCCTCGCTTGCAGGTATGATCTGCTCAGCGGGCAGCTTGAAGCCGATGAGCACTGATTTAGAGGAAGGACGCAGCTCGTAACAGAAGGACATGCGCACATCCTGAGTGCCGTAGACCCAGTCAACGCTGGCTCCAGCTGCCGGATAGATGGCATCGTAGATGTTGCCACCAGTATACTGTGTATTGTAGCGCTGTGACACAGCGGCAATAGACGCATCAAATACCTGCTGGAAATCCTTCACATTATCAGGCAGATCGCCCGTGTGTCCATAAGGATACAGCAGATATTGCGAGTAGGCATGGAACGAAATATAGAGCTGAATCTCGTCCTTAATCGAGGCAATGTAATTCGACAGCGACAGAGTCTCGATCTCAGAGAAGGCGCTGGGTCCAGCATAGGTATCAGAGCATGGATCACTGCTTGCACCAACTTCATTCCAGTGGAAGCCCCAGTTGCGGTTGGGATCGACGCCGAAGCAACTGCCATAGGGAGTGCGGGTCTTGCGCCACATACGATTTGTGGTATGGGTGAAGACGTAGCCATCGGGATTGGCATGGGGGAAGATGTACCAATTGTAGTTGTCGGCCAAATCCTTGACAGACTCCAAGTTTGAGGTTAGCAGCTGATTGATGATGAAGGTGGCAGCAGCGGGCGCAATCCATTCGCGAGCATGAATACCAGCCTCCAGGAAGATGCCGGGCTTCTCGCTGAGACTCTTGGATATCTTGACACCGAGAATCGAACGGCCCTCATAGGTCTTTCCACCCTCAATCAATGTGACAACGTGAGGGTACTTCTTTGCCAGGCTCACCATCCAGTTGTATGTATCGTCTAGCTCATAGTACTGCGCCCAATTGTAGTCGGCAGCGCGTCCCTTGATGGCAACCTTCTCATCAATTTCATCCATGGACTTTTGGAAGTCCTTGGAATGCAGCACGTACTTGATCTCAGCTTTGCCCAAAATCTCCAATACGTCAGGCACTTTGTGTGGGGCAACAACCATCTGGACATCAGCTCCGACAATGTGGACGCCATCCAGGAACATAATGGAATCCGAAGATCCTTCAAGCTGTTTCAGCACAGCCAGCTGCTCGGCATTCTCTGCATTGGCTTGGTATAGACGGTAGTTATCAAAGCGGACCCGTTCCGCCTCACTCACTCCAGCAGTTGCCAAAAGGCCAAGCAGAGCAAAGACAAGAGACTTGTTCAGCGACATGGTCGTCGTTGGTATTAAACATTTAAGGTTGCGTGGTTGGTTTATATGGTCAATGGAGTTTTCGACGCAACATTTAGATAAGCGCTGATAAGTCAATTAACTAAATCATATTTATAGCCCTTGCGATTAAGACGTCAACTCTTAGACGCATAAATAAGAACGTTATCTGCATCTAAGCCCTTATCAATACTTTTATTACTCTAGTGTAAATCACTGCACTTTTTTGTGTGTTTATTAAAAATCAAGAGTTTTTCTTTCGCCTAATTATAAAGCATGTGGGTTTAACCCTGGATTATGGAGTGACTGGCAGTCTACAAATGGAATACGTGGCAATGAAGGCCAGCGTAAAGTGCTCAGGCACTCGGGTGCCATCACAGTGAAGTACCTTTAAGCTACACAGGTTTCTTCAAGCAGCTTGTCTTTTGCATGTAAATCTTAAATATGCATAGATTTACGATTAGATTTACGCTCTCTTATATATTCTTAAGAAAATAACATTGTCTATAATCAGTTAAGCTTCGAGCGTCTGAAGTATGCGGCACTTATCAAAAGTTGCTGCTGCCATTTAATAACGGTTTTCACAGAATCAGTTGGAAAATCAATCTAAGCAGCTTGTAAAAGCCTTCCAAAGTTTATCAACCTGCTGCTCTGGCTTTTTAATATTACTTCCTTTTATCAAATCTCAGCTATTGCAACCTCTGCTGTGACATACCCATGTGCAGTACGACTAGTGAAGATCTCTAGCTAACCTGTTATTAAATACTCTAACTGATACGAATTATCGCTGTCTATTGACAGAGCAATTCTCTGGTTGTAAGTTTTGTTATCGATGTAGATCAGCCCACTGAGATTCAAAGGCACTCAATACATGCAGCATGTATCCAACAACCCGCTGTAAGTGCCTTCAGGTCGAATAGGACTAGCACAAGTCAAATGCGTAGCTATGCTTTTAAAATGTGAGTCGTTTATTGTGGAAATCTTTAATTAAAATATCCCAGCTTCTGGACCTGACCAACCATGGCGGTCAGCGAATCCAAGAGTTCCTCGCTGGCAGGAATGATCTGAGCAGCGGGAAGCTTGAAGCCAGTGATATATGAGTTGGAGGAAGGACGCAACTCATAGCAGAATGCCATGCGTACATCCTGGGTACCATACGCCCAATCAACACTGGCTCCAGCTGCCGGGTAGATGGCATCATAGATGTTACCACCAGTGTATTTCGTATTATAACGCTGCGAGACGGCAGAGACAGCTGCGTTGAACACCTGTTGGTAGTCCTTGACATTGTCGGGCAATGATTTGGTGTGACCATAAGGATACAGCAGATATTGCGAGTAGGCATGGAACGAGACATAGAGCTGAATCTTGTCCTTTATCGAGGCAATGTAGTTCGAGAGTGACTGAGTCTCAATCTCAGAGAACGCGTGGGGTCCAGCATAGGTATCGGAACAGGCGCTGTTGCTGGCACCCACCTCATTCCAGTGGAAGCCCCAGTTGCGGTTAGGATCAGCGCCAAAGCACTTACCATAGGGTGTGCGAGTCTTGCGCCATAGGCGATCCTTGGTGTGGGAGTAGACAAAGCCGTCGGGATTACAGTGGGGGAAGACGTACCAATTGTAGTTGTCAGCTAACTGCTTAATAGAATCAACGTTCGAAGTGAGTAGCTGGTTGACGATGTAGGTGGCAGCCGCTGGGGCGATCCACTCTCGAGCATGAATGCCAGCCTCGATGAAGATGCCGGGCTTCTCGCTGCCACTCTTGGAGATCTTCACACCAAGGATTGAACGTCCCTGATAGGTTTTGCCACCCTCAATCAGGGTAACAATCTGTGGATATTGCTTGGACAAGGACTGCATCCAGCTATAGGTATCCTCCAGCTCATAGTACTGCGCCCAGTTATAATCGGAGCTGGCGCGACCCTTAGGAGCCACCTTCTCGTCAACCTCATCCATCGACTTTTGGAAGTCCTTGGACTGCAGATCATATTTAATCTCAGCTTTGCCCAAAATCTCCAGTACATCAGGCACTTTGTGTGGGGCAACAACCATCTGGACATCAGCTCCGACAACATGAACACCATCCAGAAATATGATTGAGTCCGAAGATCCTTCCAGCTCTTTTAGAACAGCTAGTTGATCTTCATTCTCAGAAGTGGCTTTGTAGAGACGATAGTTGTCATAGTGAACGCGTTCGGCATGACTAAATCCAAAGGTGGCCAAAAGGCCCAACACGGCTAAAAGAAGCGACTTGTTCAGCGACATCGTTGTCGTTGTTATGAAGCACAGCAAGTCGTGTGCAGAGCTTTTATATGTTTTCTCTTTGTGTTCCTATTATTTGATAGAGCCTTTGGTGATAAGCCCAGTCGATCAAATTTTATTTATAATGTCTGTTCGCTAGACTTTAAATAATTTAAAATAATCTTGGTAAATACAGCTATCGGAATACATCTTGGCTGTATATCAATCGAAAAAATGCAAGTCTTTGCATTTAAGTTGTTTTAGTTTCCGAAGTCATAAACAACTTGGGTTTATAGCAAATACAAGTCGATCAAACATGAATGAATGCAGTCAGAAAATATTTTTGATTGGAGAGCATTAAAATTCTGAAATTCAGAATTTATCTTTATCTGTATTTCTATATATATATATATATATGGTAACATAATCTTTTAAAATGAGCTCTATCAAATTACTAAATTTCTAGTACGATCTATCGAGGAAAGTGTATCAAATCTACGCCTAATCTTGAGATATTTCCCCTTTATGATATAGCCCTTGTCTTGCTTTTACCGGGAATCCACTTGATATTCGCACTCAGCCCGCATATAAATATCACATTCGACTCTAAGCTATCAGTGCTAGACTGAATACGAAGCAACAGTTGGCAAAGACAGTCAGTACTCCCCGTTACACGTGGAGAACTTGGCGGACCGCCTGCTGCAGCTGACCAACTTCTATTTGAATGCGCATGAAGAGGCACCATTGGATATCGATGAAGTGGGTCAACTACACTGGCAGTGTGTATTCAGCGCATGATATGCTACTCAGCTACGGCGCGACGGCTCGTCTCTGGCTTGCTTGTGACAGAAGCCAATTGCTTCTGAGGCGGCCAACATCGTCTGCCACAGTTCTTTGCTCTGACGGCATTGCTACAGGTGGTGTTACACTAGCCTAATCAAATTTTCATTAAAAAATAAGTAAGTGTGTTCTAGCCGAGACTATTCTACTATAGAAAACCCTGAACCCTGGAAAGAAGTGAAATTCTTTCATACAACACAGCACACGCTCTGCTTGCAGGGACTGAATTATGGGCATTACTAAAGGAACTATTGTTGAATAATGTTTCTTATAGAATATAGAATATCAATCCAAGATTATCTTAATCTAATTTTCATGCCGGTATAATGGCATTCATTTGAGTATATTAGCCACCGCACAACTATTTGGAATACATTTGTTGAGGGAAGAGGAAGGTGATACAAAATATTTGTATTCATTACAGAAACTTGAAGAAAATTCCGATGCCTCCAGCATTTACTATATTGATCGATCTTTATCCAAACAAAATTATAAGTTCGTTTAGTATACGCGAGTGCACATTTGAGATATCAAGTCTCTAGATTTTGGTGTGCTGGACTGACGGACGGACAGCCGGACATTGCTAAGTCGACTCTGCTCGTTTTTCTGATCGGGTATATATTTACTATGAGGCGTCTATAAAAACACACAATAATAGAAAAACCCAGTCAACATTGGGATTTTTATTTCACTAATTCTACACTGGATTGTCGTACATGGCTTTGTGTATGAAATGTAAAAACGTAGACATTTTGTAGCGTAAGATGGACAGACGAGCATTGAACAAAACGAATATACTTTGCTACTGAATTTGGGCGGGAGTGTGTCAGTCACGCTAAATCTAATATTTGGAAAGATTTTGCTTGATGCTTAATAATCGTAGATCACGCTATCATTCACCACTTCTTTGCCTGGTAAAATACTTCTTGCTGGAGGATAATAGAATCATCTGTTAATGTACGCTTCCCGATTTGCTGTCACTTCAATGAGTATCCATGTGAGGAGCAGGACCTGGAGAGAGTAGAGGAAGCCAGCAATGCACACTTTGTCTACCAACTTCGATGGCATTAGCTTTGAGACTACCAGCAACGTGGCTTTACAGCACAGCCTTTAATTCATCTTTAGTCAGCATTGCATACTGATCATGCTTACCGTGACTTGATAACAGTCTATCGTAAAGTCAAACGTTATGTAAATACTGTTTTGAATGTAATTTGACAGATTATCTTAAAGAGTTAATTAGGGCCCAACGACCGAATACTTACGTAAAATCTATAAGAAATCATGCAGCTTCGCTTAACTATAGACCACCAACGCTAAGACTTGATATAAGCTTAAGGCTTATATCATTTGGTTTAGTAGATTTAAGTACACATTTGCTGTTTGTAAATGTAAAAAGGCTGTAAAGGCCTTAACAGAAAGCCTTAAACAGTTTCAGTCAAGCAAATTATATTAGCCTAGCCTAAATGTATTATATAATATATTGTAAATGTTAGTATTTATTGATAGTTTTATAAGAACTTGTTAGTAAACAAAGCATAATCAGCTTTTTAAAAGACTCACTAACCTCATCTAGAATTGAATAAATTAATTTTATTTATAATTGTTCTCGAAGTGAACAGTTATAAATCAAATTAATTTATTTCTATGAATGCAAAGCATTCATATTGAAGCTGAATAAATTTGAATAGATATTCATTGGCACCGCTCGAGCGTGGCAAATGGAATAATACAAGTCATATTTAGGACGAGACGTAAACGAGAAACTTGAAAAATTAGACATATAAAAAAGTAAACATTTTCATTTTACAACTAGAAACTCAAAATTCGGTAGTCGAGTAACTACTTTATTGATCTACTTTATTGAGATTAACAAAAAAATAATCCAGATTATTTATTTAACTTATTAATTATATGGTCCGACTAGTGGAACGTCTTAAGTCCATTTGATTTATACAGCTATATATTTATATTGTTTCCTTTACCTTTAATCGTCTATGCCTATGCCTATGCCTATGCCTATGCCTATGCCTATGCCTATGCCTATGCCTATGCCTATGCCTATGCCTATGCCTATGCCTATGCCTATGCCTATGCCTATGCCTATGCCTATGCCTATGCCTATGCCTATGCCTATGCCTATGCCTATGCCTATGCCTATGCCTATGCCTATGCCTATGCCTATGCCTATGCCTATGCCTATGCCTATGCCTATGCCTATGCCTATGCCTATGCGGCTATGCCTATGCCTATGCCTATGCCTATGCCTATGCCTATGCCTATGCCTATGCCTATGCCTATGCCTATGCCTATGCCTATGCCTATGCCTATGCCTATGCCTATGCCTATGCCTATGCCTATGCCTATGCCTATGCCTATGCCTATGCCTATGCCTATGCCTATGCCTATGCCTATGCCTATGCCTATGCCTATGCCTATGCCTATGCCTATGCCTATGCCTATGCCTATGCCTATGCCTATGCCTATGCCTATGCCTATGCCTATGCCTATGCCTATGCCTATGCCTATGCCTATGCCTATGCCTATGCCTATGCCTATGCCTATGCCTATGCCTATGCCTATGCCTATGCCTATGCCTATGCCTATGCCTATGCCTATGCCTATGCCTATGCCTATGCCTATGCCTATGCCTATGCCTATGCCTATGCCTATGCCTATGCCTATGCCTATGCCTATGCCTATGCCTATGCCTATGCCTATGCCTATGCCTATGCCTATGCCTATGCCTATGCCTATGCCTATGCCTATGCCTATGCCTATGCCTATGCCTATGCCTATGCCTATGCCTATGCCTATGCCTATGCCTATGCCTATGCCTATGCCTATGCCTATGCCTATGCCTATGCCTATGCCTATGCCTATGCCTATGCCTATGCCTATGCCTATGCCTATGCCTATGCCTATGCCTATGCCTATGCCTATGCCTATGCCTATGCCTATGCCTATGCCTATGCCTATGCCTATGCCTATGCCTATGCCTATGCCTATGCCTATGCCTATGCCTATGCCTATGCCTATGCCTATGCCTATGCCTATGCCTATGCCTATGCCTATGCCTATGCCTATGCCTATGCCTATGCCTATGCCTATGCCTATGCCTATGCCTATGCCTATGCCTATGCCTATGCCTATGCCTATGCCTATGCCTATGCCTATGCCTATGCCTATGCCTATGCCTATGCCTATGCCTATGCCTATGCTAGCCTATGCCTATGCCTATGCCTATGCCTATGCCTATGCCTATGCTATGCCTATGCCTATGCCTATGCCTATGCCTATGCCTATGCCTATGCCTATGCCTATGCCTATGCCTATGCCTATGCCTATGCCTATGCCTATGCCTATGCCTATGCCTATGCCTATGCCTATGCCTATGCCTATGCCTATGCCTATGCCTATGCCTATGCCTATGCCTATGCCTATGCCTATGCCTATGCCTATGCCTATGCCTATGCCTATGCCTATGCCTATGCCTATGCCTATGCCTATGCCTATGCCTATGCCTATGCCTGTTCTTCGATCCCTTTGACTCACCCATTTAATACACCAATCAATCACTTCTGACAGCAACTGTCTAGGCCCTGACACATTGCAATTGATTGATGAGCTATGAGTTATAAAAGCTCTATAAAATGAGTCAAAGCTCGTTTTCATTTAGTAATAAGCAGCCATCATGTACCAATTGTCTGAAGTGGAGTCCAACTATCGCAGACTCTTTAAAGACTTTCTGCGCAATAGCTACATAAGTGGATTAAAACCTCTGCTGTTGCACAGCCCCGTACAATACGCCAAGTGAAGATCTAAAGCGCACTTTTAGTAAATAATTCAACTGATACCGTTTAACACTATCTATTGACAGGGCACTTTGGCTGGCATTTCTGGCTGTGATCGTTGTCTGGACACACATTGTTGTCGTTAATCTGACACTCGAGTACATCGATCAGCCCACTGAGATTCACATGGCCCCCAATCTGGTGCACGTATCCAACAGTCCCTTTCCCGCTGTGAGTGTTTGCCGGTCGAACATGATTAACAGGGGCCTAATGAATAACTACGCCTTTAAAATGTGAGTAATTTATTGCACAACTCTTGGATTGAAATAGCCCAGCTTCTGAACTTCACCAACCATGGCGGTCATTGAGTCCAACAGCTCTTCGCTCGTAGGAATGATCTGAGCTACGGGCAACTTGAAGTTCGTAATATAGGACTTCGACGAAGGACGCAACTCATAGCAGAATGCCATGCGTACACCCTGGTTACCATACACCCAATCAACACTGGCTCCAGCTACCGGGTAGATGGCATCATAGATGTTACCACCAGTGTATTTCGTATTATAACGCTGCGAGACGGCAGAGACAGCTGCGTTGAACACCTGTTGGTAGTCCTTGACATTGTCGGGCAATGATTTGGTGTGACCATAAGGATACAGCAGATATTGCGAGTAGGCATGGAACGAGACATAGAGCTGAATCTTGTCCTTTATCGAGGCAATGTAGTTCGAGAGTGACTGAGTCTCAATCTCAGAGAACGCGTGGGGTCCAGCATAGGTATCGGAACAGGCGCTGTTGCTGGCACCCACCTCATTCCAGTGGAAGCCCCAGTTGCGGTTAGGATCAGCGCCAAAGCACTTACCATAGGGTGTGCGAGTCTTGCGCCATAGGCGATCCTTGGTGTGGGAGTAGACAAAGCCGTCGGGATTACAGTGGGGGAAGACGTACCAATTGTAGTTGTCAGCTAACTGCTTAATAGAATCAACGTTCGAAGTGAGTAGCTGGTTGACGATGTAGGTGGCAGCCGCTGGGGCGATCCACTCTCGAGCATGAATGCCAGCCTCGATGAAGATGCCGGGCTTCTCGCTGCCACTCTTGGAGATCTTCACACCAAGGATTGAACGTCCCTGATAGGTTTTGCCACCCTCAATCAGGGTAACAATCTGTGGATATTGCTTGGACAAGGACTGCATCCAGTTGTATGTATCTTCCAGCTGATAGTACTGCGACCAGTTATACTCGATGCTGGCGCGACCCTTAGGAGCCACCTTCTCATCAATCTCATCCATGGACTTTTGGAAGTCCTTGGACTTCAGTTCATATTTAATCTCAGCTTTGCCCAAAATCTCCAATACATCAGACACTTTGTGTGGGGCAACAACCATCTGGACATGAGCTCCGACAAGGATACCAGTCAGAAATATGATTGAGTCCGAAGATTCTTCCAGCTCTTTTAGAACAGCTTGTTGATCTTTATTCTCAGCAGTGACTTTGTAGAGACGGTAGTTGTCATAGTGAGCACCATCCGCAAGACTAAATCCAAAGGTGGCCAAAAGGCCCAACACGGCTAAAAGAAGCGACTTGTTCAGCGACATCGTCGACGTTGTTATGAAGCACATCATGTTACGTGTCACGCTTTTATAGACTTGTGGTGTGTCTTTGTGGGTAAAAGCATTTTGACACACAAAAGATTGCAAGTCGTAATTTTTAAGTTCTTTGAGTTGCTAAAGCCATAAGCAACTTGGTCTTACAGTAAACGCAATTCAATTAAATTTCGAATCGTTTAGCTTATATTGTGTTGATACACAGTTCTTTTTGGCAATACAAACTTACACCGTATTTAGAGTTCGCTATAACTAAAAGGGAAATGGAAAAGAGCCGCACTTGATCAACAAAAGTAATGGAGTATTGAGAATCCGAAAATTAATTACTTTGCAGCTGGACGGAGCCAAGTGCATTGACTCATTCACGTTTACTCATACCAACAAAACAAAATTGACTTAAAAATAATTCATTCGAATAGGTCTGTGGGGGATTCCATATAGATTCTTTCCATTTGCAACGCTACTGTTGATATAGCTTTTGCTCAAAAGTATTTTGTGGCAAGAGTAATTTAAATCATAAAAGTTGAAGCTCCAAACTGTGAAGGAATACAAAAGCATTCGCCAGTTTCTTAAAGGGTTCCTCGAGAAGGCGTCGCAGTCCGAAAATATTGAATATTGAGAAATTTAACTGATTTTGCATAAATATGTGTGTGAATGTATAAGCGTAAGTGCTTGAAAACGTGGGGTAGAAGTTGCCCTATTTTATTTATTATTTTATTTTATTTTATTTTATTTTATTTTTTATTTAATATTTTAAATATTTGAATCACTTTATTATTTTTCTATTTCAATATATACCGCCATAACATATACATAAATCATGTATACATAAGGAATAATAGGTTTATAGATTTCTAAGAAATTCTCTACCTTAGCTTCTATAAGTGATAAATAGGATCAATCGAGCAGAGCGTATCCAAAACGATGTGTCAATCTGTATATTTAAACTTTATATTGATACTCAGTCCGCATACTAATATCCCCTTTGACTTCCAGCTATCAGCACCAGACTCAATACGAAGGAACATTTGCCAATGACAGTCGATACCCCCCCTTAGATTTGGAGAGGTTGACGGATCGCCTGATGCTTCTGACCAACTTTTTTTTGAATACCGACGGGAAACATTTGGATATCGATGAACTGGGTCAACTACACAATCTACTCACTAGCTACTACAATGGCAGTGTATACTCGGTGCATGATATACTACGTGAGTTGACGCCCGACTGCGGGGACTTAGTGGTGCGAGGGATCATCTATGGTATGCCTGTCAACACAAGCCAATTGTTTCTGAAGCGGGCAACATCTTCTGGCACGTGCTGCATATTTAACTATAGGCGGCCCAGTTATTCACAATCTCCGTGAGTGATAGCAAAAGACTCTAACCATGTTGCACTGGCTCTCTCTAACCACATCTTGCTGCTTACAGTGGGCAGCGTGAGTTGGATGATGCAGAAATGGCGGCATTGCCACAGGTGGTTTTTGAATCGAATTCTATTTTGAACGGCATACAATTTGTGCTGCAGGACACTCACCAGGACGATTACACATTGAGCTTTTTGACCAACACGGCATTTCGGGTAAGTATTTGTCCTCCAACTACTCCAATATTGGCAGCAGCAATAATAAGAACTTGGCAACTCAGTGTTAAGTCCTAGCGGACGTGAGCCTAGCTACAACTGTTGAAAACTCGCATTTTCATGTGTTGTAATGCTATCAATTCTGCTTCTAATTAGAAGTAAATGGGTATTACAAATGTTCTGAAACTTATATTTTGCTTTTAAGTTGATTCACTTTTACTTTTAATTGTACTTTTTACCAATTCCAGTTCTACGTACAGTTCTCCTCATTATTAGGTCATGTCATTATTAATAATATTATACATCTAAGCCCGAAGGTATTCATTAACTAATTTCCAAAAGTATAGCCTATAATTCAGAGCAACCTCAGTCGTTGCAAGTCTGTGTAATTACTTTACGCGCTTCTTGTATTTGAGCTTACCTGTTTTAATTTCAAATTGCCTCACAGAAAGACTTCTGTTAACCAAGCTAACAATTAGCACAACATTACATTGGCATTAACATTACATTAACAGCAGCGATGCTGTTAACAAAAGTTGCTCGTGGAGTTTTAGCCCGCTTTACATTTGATACATTTTGTTAATTCAATCAAAAATTGTGCTTGCCTTGCAGCTGCAGATCTTTCCGCAAGAAGATTATGCCACTGTGCAGTCCAATAAACATGGTGAAATACTCGTCGATCACAATACCATTGTGGAGGTGCCCATACAGCCGAAGTTCTTTGACTCCAGCGCTGCGGTGCGAGGTGTGACGCCAAAAGTACGTCGCTGTTACTTTCCAGAGGAGGGCAGAAAACTATTGAACCAGTAATTGAAGCAAAATCGAGTGGGACAAGAGCTAAAGCTTTTGCTTTGCAGATCCTACTACTCGCTGGATGAGTGCATTTTACTCTGTCGCATTAATAGCATGTTACAGCACTGTGGCTGTGCGTCCTCCCCCATGGCCGGCACCGCTTTAAATGTTAGCTACTGCACGCTGCTTGATTTGCCATGCCTGATGAAATGGCGCGGTATTTGGAATGGCTTCAATGAGTATCCGTATGTGGAACAGTACGAGGAAGGGGCTGAGGATGCCAGCAGCATGTCGCAATGTCCACTTTGTCTGCCCAACTGCGATGGCGTTAACTTTGAGATTACCAGCAATGTAGCTCCGCTTAGAAAAGCCTTTAACGCAACGGGCTACGCCCACGGCCTACTGTATGTTACGGTTGTCTTAAGTTCACTTCAAAAATTGATTACGTTTATCTTTATTGCAGCAAGAGCTTGAACAACGATCGTCCTTTATCCATAATCAAATTATTCTTCAAGTTGCGTTTCGCGCAGTCAACACAAATGGCTATGGTTGGCGATTGGGTTGTGCTGCTTAGTTGAGTCGAATGACATTTAGATGGTTTTTATACTCGTTCACGAAATTAAAGAAAGAGAGAGGGAGGCAATATATACTCTTGGGTACCCTCGGGAAAAACTGAATATTTAGGTTTTATTGTTAGAAACTCAAAATTGAACAACTAAATTTCTGTATCCTGTTTAAGCTGTCTAGGGAAAAACATTAGGCTAGCCACAGATAAGTTGAATTCTTCGGAGAGATTGTAAGAAATGCTTAACACTCGAAGACCTTTAAACTAGAATATATAACATAACTTACCCATTTATTATTCTTAAACCTATTAACCTGCTGGATTAGCAATAAAGCTATAAGCACAATGAGAGCCTTTAAAATCTATATTTGTATTTGCTAGTGAAGGTGACAAGCTTTACAATTTTTTCAAAATACATAAATGTTTAATTGAAATTTAATTCAGATTTGTTTAGATAATGTATAGCTGGCTAGTAACTTATTCAACTACAAAAAATAACTGATATCCAAGTTTCTATACAAATATTATATTATTTCAAAATCCTTGCACAGCTGCAAACGTACAATTTATTTACATTAGCTAAATAAAAATTAAAATGTCAGCCTTAGTACTTTGCTATAAACAAGTTGCCGACCTATAGAAACATTTTACTGCTTAAAATCTCTACCTAAAAGCTATTTTCATTTGTCATACTAGCTTATAACTAAATCCAAAAACTTTTTACTGAACTTTTCATATCAATGTCTTTGCAGATCGCTTTGGTGGTATTTTATCATTGATGTATGGCTTCAGCATAATCAGCTATATAGAAATATTTTACTATCTAACTGGCAAATGGTTTGTCCTTTACTACAGAGAATGTCATAAACAAAAAAACGATAGCAACAAAACTGAATTAGACAGTAGCTCGCTACACTGGAACGAATAATAAGAGCATATATTAACATTTGAAATACAGATTTCGCTTATGTGATTCGCTCAGAGCTCAAACACACAAAAGTATATTGAAATCACACACAACAATCGAATCGAACTTATTGAAATTATAAACTGTAGTTAATATATGTGTATAATATATAATGCATGCTACAAAATGTTAATTGCCCGTGCAAGCGTTTCATGTTCCAGACTGTATTCATATATCATATTTAATAATCATCACCGCGAGAGACAATCTCTTTGCAGGTGGGCCGCAAGATAATGGTATGCTCATACTGTGCCGTATAGCAACCCTTGATGTCGCACAATGGCGGATAGGCCTCCACGATGCCCTTGTCACACAGATCCTTAAGTGCCATTTGGTATTTCGTAGCGCCTGCGCGATCCAGCCAACGTTTACAGAAAGCCAATGTACCGAAATGCTTGTTAATGGTGCCCAATAGCTGTTTGGATGACTGCAAACGCAGCGGCACAAATGGCAAATCAAAGTTCTTCATATAATGCGAACAGTCCATGTCATCGTGGACCAATCCACGACCCGTCGAGCCAAACGTCTCAATAGCATAGAACTCATCCTCTTCCATGCGCGTGGACTCACCACCCTTAACAATGGGCACCGTTTTGCCAGCATGAATACCTATAAGGAATGTTCAAGTTAACAATTTAATATACTCAATAGTATATAGATTATCTTGCTTACGGTACGGGCTAATAGAATGTCCGTTTAAATTACGTATAGCCTTGATCGGATAGGTCTTGCCATCCAGCTCGATTTCGTACGATTCCATTACCTCCTGTATGGCCGAGCCAACATCGCATAGACGCACATCAATGCCCGCTTCCTTAATGCCCGTATTGGTTGCCTCCTTCACCGCCTGCAGGAGCTTATCATACTTATTGTTAAAGGTCAATGTGAAGGCGCAATCAATGATGCGACCCTTGATGTGGGTGCCAAAATCAATTTTGCACACATCATCGTATTGCAGCACAGTAGTATCGCCCGCATTGGGTGTGTAATGTGCAGCGCAATGATTAAGTGAACAGCCAGTTGGAAAGGCCAAGCCAGCCTCCAAGCCATTCTCCCCAATCAATTGGCGAGCGGTATTTTCCAATTCTTCGCATATCTGGATCATGGTCATGCCTGGCTTGATATATTTTTGCATATATTGACGTGTCTGGCGATGCGCTTCGGCAGCTTGGCGGAGCTCATTGTAGATGTCGTTGTTCATGCGATCTAACGCACGCTTTTCCTCCGACGTATAGCGATCTTTGGCGGTGCGATCGTCGGCCATATCCTTCGGTATTGGATGATCCATTATCTGACCCTCCGGATAGTTGCCATTGGCAAAGAGCTCGGATATAGGTATGCTGGGTGGATCTGTTTGACCAGATTTTTTGCCTTTGTTCTTCTTCTTCATGGGTGGCACAGCGATTGGCGCTTTTTTCTCGGCTTCGCCATTGGTGGCGGCTTCAGATTCGCCACCCTCGGCGATTTTCTTTGCTGCGGCTTCTATAAGTATTTAACATATATTATATATTTATATATATAAATATTTAATATATATGTATATATTTATATGTGTATAAATATATATACATATATATATAAACATATATATATATATGTACTTATATATATACATGTAACTGCATGGTTAAAGGGACAGGTCACTCACCTTGTCTCAATTTTTTATTGTTCGGCTTTGGCTTCTTTTGTTTCTTGGCATCGTCGCTGCCGGCCACTACTGTTATGGCATCCTCGACATTCAATGCTTCCACAGCTGACATATTTAATGTATTTGCAAAAAATTATAAAATACACTTGCGGCTACTGAGCAATAATGGCGATGAAAGGAGAGCACGAGGTTAGTGATGTGTTGCTACCTTAAAAAACGATATATTTCATTACAACGATAACTTCAATCGCATGCTTGACTTAACATTAAATTTGGATACCGATACTAGTATGTGGATTTTGTACACATCGGATATACATATTGTTTAGCGCATTTACTTAGTCAATCCATTATCTTAATTCTTAATATTATTTTTGTACAGAGCCGGTCTCTGTAAAAAAAAAACCCCTAGCACTTACTAGCAATGCAATAAGAATTAGCGCCTGTAGAATTTCGCAATCATCTACCATAAGTTAAAATTAATTGTTTGCACACATATGTCTATTAGCCTTATAAAATATTTTTTTATTGTCTATTTCTGTCCTTATCGAATTTTTCATTCACAATGGTACACAAAATAGGGCCAACCCATTTAAGTGCTGCGACCACCCATAAATTGTGGTGGCTGTTCGATCATTGGTAGCTGTTTACTTTTTACGAAATGGATGAAATTCTGTTTCCCACGCAAAATTCGTTAAGCGACAATGATGATGGTGACTTAAAGTTCTTTAACACGGCCACAGAAAGCCGCAAAGACAGCGAAACATCAGACACAGCAGACGTCGATGGCAAGGACATCAAACCTGACGCCGACGCAGATGGTGATTCCGGCGAGCCATCTCAAAAGAAGCTGAAAACTAAAAAGGAGCTCGAGGAAGAAGAACGCGAACGCATGCAGTAAGACTTATGCCCATTCTCACGATAACTAGTTAAGCTATGCTTTATAGGGTGCTAGTATCCAACTTTACGGAGGAGCAACTTGATCGCTATGAGATGTACAGACGTTCCGCTTTTCCAAAGGCAGCAGTCAAGCGACTAATGCAGACCATAACCGGATGCTCGGTGTCGCAAAATGTGGTAATAGCCATGTCCGGCATAGCCAAGGTGTTTGTGGGCGAAGTCGTGGAAGAGGGTATGTAACCCATATTACAATCAGATGTCTTGTATTTATTCTCTGCCTTTTAGCTCTGGATGTAATGGAGCAGCAAGGGGAATCAGGTGCGCTGCAGCCAAAATTTATTCGCGAAGCTGTGCGAAGGCTACGCAGTAAGGGACGCATGCCCATTGGTCGCTTTCAGCAACCGTATTTTAGACTAAACTAGACTTAAGAAGTAAGTTAAAGCTTTTAGTTTTTGTAAGTGAAAAAATGTTTACTCCATATACAAAAAGCGTCTTTATTTGTTAAAACCTAAGCTAATCCTGTGTCCTTGCTTCCGCCTGCATCGTCTGCAGCACAATGTGCGGCACCAGATGGGACGAAGCATAATTGAGTGGAACCGTTGCCAGCGGCGCGCTGCCATCGGATGGAAAGTTGAGCTCCTGCGCCATTGGCATATCCCGATCGATCACGTCCTGAGCAATCAGAGTTTTTGTCTCCTCGTACTCCATACCCGCCTCTGGCTTGGCGCCCATTAGCAGCTTTCCTCGCTGCACGCCCATATATTGCGTGGCTTTCGCGTTGAGCGGCAGCTGGCCACAGGTGTCGGCGTGAACCTTTCGATGCGCCTGCAAATTGGAGATGCATGTGAAACGTTTGCCACAGTTGTTGCAAAGGAAACGTTTAATGCCCGTGTGAACAGTCATATGGGTTAAAAGGCTTTCCCGATATGGATACTCCTTGGGGCAGAGCTGCAATGAAAGAAGATGATAGCAGAACATGGGATTAATATTATGTGGAAAGTGGATCATTCTCAAGAATTTTCCTTAAAATAAAATACAGCCACAACCTTGTAAACACTCTGAATACCGAACTGTGAAATAGAGCTGTAAAAGGTTGTTGTGTAAACCTTATATTGGGACTGCCTTAACTTAAAAAAATTATTCTTGAACGAACCTAAAAATAAATAAAAACAGTTATATTTGATCTAAAAAAACCAAAATGTTATATTTACAAGTGTTCAAAATCTGTGGAACACGAACCCAGCAGGTAAATAAGATGTTTTCATGTGTGGTATTCAAACTTTACATTTTATAGTATCTCATCAACCCACCCTGTTGTATCTACATCATTATCTTCTGAATCTAACGGCTGAATATAATCGACAGAGCTGTCAAGAGCTGTTAAGATTTAACTGTTGAAAGCTTTAAGCTATCTATATTTATATCTTTAATTCAGTTTTTAGGCGCACGGTGCATTATTTTTAAATAATTTGAGACTAACAAGAAAGGTATTATATTTGGTGAAATTGCAGTCTACTTTACATATGTTATGCATTTATTGTTGCTGCACATAGTTTTATCCATTATATATTTAGTTTTAAATTTAAATAAAAATTCGAAGATGATGACAGGAATTATTGCTAACTGAATGCTGTCACAGCCGGTTTTTTTTAAATAACTGAAAGAATACATAATTAACAGCCAACAAAAGACACTACATCTTACTACCATCTTATCATTAACAGCAAATCTACTCGAAAGACACTGCTAGAGCTTAAAGCAAACGACGATTGCCCGCTTTAACATAAAGCCTTATCACTAACAGCAATTTCATACTCACATGGCACTTGTAAGGCTTGTTGTCCGTGTGACGGGTCTTCAAATGCGATTTGTACTGCGCCTTCACCTTAAACGTCTTGCCGCACTTGTCACATTGATACGGCGTCTCTGACTGATGCAGGAGCATGTGTGTTTTCAGTATTCCCGCTGTGGACAGTCGCTTGCAGCAAACACTGCACTCGTATAGGGGTACTCGTCCACATTCAGACCGTACATGATCCGAGAGAGAGGTGCGACCGGTAAATTTCTTGCCACACTTATCGCAGATCAGATTCCGTGGAAGATTGCGCGGCTCTTTGCGGGCATGATAGTTCTTCTCGTGATTCTTTAAGCTGTCATGCCCAGTCATATACTTGTCACACTTCTCACAGTAGAGTAGCTCTTTGTGCTGCTGATGGGCATGTTGGGTGGCTAACTCTTTGCTGGCGAAGAACAGATTGCAATAGCAAGGACATTTGTGTATTAGATTGCCATCCTTTCCGTGCACCTTCATGTGCGTCTCCAGACGTTTCTCTACCAAGTAGATTTTGCTGCAGATTTTACATTTAAAGACTTCCTCATCTAGCTTGGCATGTGCATCCGCATCCTTGAAAAGGTCGTTGACCGCCTGTTCGCTTAGCTTATGATCGTCGCGCAGATGCTTCTCGTATGGCTTCCGAATGTGATAGATTTTTACACAGTGTGGACACTGCCAGGTCTTTTCCATTTTTCTCAGCATTTTCAGTCGCTCTTTCAACTCTTTTTTGGTTATTTTGGCCACGCGGCGTGGAGCAGTTGTTGCCTCTTCCTGAGGCACAGGCGAGGCGGTAGCAGCTCCTCGCTTTCGATATTTTCGCTTAACACTGGATTTAGTTTGTGGACGCAGTTGCTCCTCTTCCTCACTGTCAGGTTCTGTTTCACGCAGTGCCAGTACATCCTCCTCCATGTGGTCCTCCCCATTCTGTTTGGCCATGGGCACAGCGGCAATCTCATCCAATATGCCCGTTGCATGTTCCACTTTTAAGTGCTCGTAGGGCTTCATACTCTCATCCTGGCTGAGCAGCACATCCAGCAATTTGTCTTTCTCATTGCTATATATGTCCAATCCATTATTGCCCTCCATTTTAACAAACGCGCTGGCATCCTGATACTCAAAATCGGGATCGATGGCTTCCTCTTTGACGAGAGCTGGGGGAGGTAGCTTAAACTGAGTAGCATCCGCTTCCTCGTCGCTGTTGTTAGGCTCAAAGTCGGGATACTCCTCGTCCGTATCGCTTAGCTCTTGGCTGCTAACGAACTCCTGTTTTAGTCGAATAGGTGCTTGAATTTTCAGCCTGCTGGCTAGGGGTACATCGTCATCGCTATCCTCTGAAGCTGGCACTGGACATTTCTTTGGTCTGCCACGCTTTCGCTTGACTACATGAACTGGTCCATCCGCCGGGACGGAAGCTGCAAATGAAACAGGGTTAGAACTGCGCTAAGCGATAGAAGCATCTGATTCACCCACAGCCTGGACGACAATTCCGTTGATGCTTAACCGGGCTGGAGGAGTTGCCTTGGCATTTCCCATCAAACTCGGCATGATGCTTAGCGCTACTCTCACGATCCGCGAAGCACTTGCCGCACAGCTGAAGAAGGGGGATGCAATTGATAATTAAACTGGTAAAAATTTACAGCTGGAAGCTTACCTCGCACTTGAAAAGCTGCTGTTCCTGGTTCACATTAAATTTGCGCTCCTGATGCGCCTCCTCGATGTGTGCCTCGTGCTCCACTTCGCTGCCGAACAGGCTATGGCACAGGCGACATTCGATATAGGCGCTATGGGTGATCCTCAAGTGCTCCTTCAACTGCTCCTCATGACAACATGTGTGCTCGCAATAGCGACACCGAAAGCCGCCCGGCGGTTCGTGTTTCTTCACATGCTTCACATAGCCGGCGAGCGATATTAATGCCTTGTTGCAGACTGGACAGTGAAGCTTCGGTATGCCGTCCGTTGTTATTTCCACAAGCATTTTCTGACCAGCATTCAACGATTGAGCTGCTGTAAAATTCGTTCAACATAGTTACTGTTGATTTACACAACCAAAAACATAGGACATATATTTTGTTTTTTTTTTTTTTTTTGTTATATACAAATGCAGCCCTGGTTTCGCGTGTAATGCAAAGTTGGGGAAGGGGAGAATCCAAGCAGCGCGGCTTAGACATAAATATTGAAGTAATTATGTTTGCCTTCATTAGACCTACCCATTTTCAATATTCAGAACGTTTTGAAGAGCTACATATGAATGCAACAATTATTATTGAAATGCAAGTGATTGAAGTTTTTTCTCCGTGTATATTTCTGTGATTTTTATGCACACTCTTATTTGTTGTTGTGTAGCAGCACTGTGAAAAAATTTAACTACTTGCGCTATACACTCAGCGAATACATATTAGTGATGAGTGTAATATGCATGTAACTGCTACGTGTCACGGCTACTCAGGCAGCAGTCGCAGTTGCGAATAGTGGAACATATAAGTTTTATATAAAGAAAATTAAACTGAATAAAATGTTGAAGATCCCAACTACTTAAGTAAACAGCAGCGATTTTTAAGCTATTAAGTGGATCTGCCGCAAAGTGAGTGAAGAGTTCTCTATTAACTGCAGCTGCTTCGCTTAACTGCCATTGAACAGCATTTGTAAAATTGACGGTAATATTGTTTATCATTTTATTAGATTTTAAGATGTACGTAATAAATTGTTGCAATTTAAAATAAACAAATGAGAAATACAATTTTTTTAACAAGTCATTGTATGTAAATTGTGGAGAACTGTTAAGTGCACAAGCTGTTAATTAAGTTCAATGTATAAAACATTTCTGTTATCTGCCATATGTACTGTTAAGTGACTATCGATTACGTGTGTGTTCATGGCGGTAATTTTAAAAAGCAAGGCATATTTATATACTGTGTAATAATTAAGAAGACTACACAAATACAATTACTTATAACGGCAAACTCGAATGTTGTGTTTTGTTTTATGCTAGTAAATGGCAAGCAAATCATATTTTAAGTAATTTATCTACCGAGTGAGATACGTTTCTGTTAACTGTTAACCGCTAACTGCTGTTAAGTTTTCTGTTAGCTACTGAAGTTGGGAAACCCATTAAAATAATAAGATTTCATTTTGGCGGCATTTTCAAAAAAGTTTCTCTTTGTATATTTGTTGTCAAAGTGTGTATTAAAAACTATATTACGTTAGCTTGAAGCATTTCACAAACCTTTTGCAACTTAAAAAATAATTACCATGTATATCACGCATACGCTCATTGCTAACCATATTATTTACACGTATTTACATTTGGGGTTCCGATTTTGGACTTGATTAAACTTTTATCGTATAAATTAGAAACTGATGGCCGTATTGTGCTCGATATCATAGCTGTGCATTTTATCAATTATTCTATTATTGATCACTTCCTTGACGTTGACAGACCAAAGGAAATCATAATGATTCCAGTCTTTGTAGGGTATACGATAGAGATCCGCACATGGGAGCAACGTTGCCAAATATTCAACATCCTCCACAGCAGACATATAATCATTATCGCTGTAGTACATATTTACACAACTATTGATATTCTGCACATTATAAGAAGGTGGCTCCGCTTGTCTGTAAATGATCTCGTTCTGCTCCCTGCCATGATCGTACTGTCGAAAATCGCCTGATGTGTACAGCTGAAGGTAGTGTATAATTTGTGTAGTCGACGCGCCAGCTGGATGCGTTTCACAAACGTCTGTTAGTAGAGTCTGAAGTTTTAATAAGTATGGAATCAGAATTAGTGCTGATAGGCGGAGTTAGCGGGAATATTACTTACATGATTTAGATGCCGGGTGCCCCAGCCACCAATGAAATCCAACAGGCCCGAACACAAAAACTTCAGCATGGAGCCCACCGAACAGACATGTTCACATAGAATCTTTTGAATACTTGTAATGGGCAACAGCTCCATGTTGCCTAGCACCCAGCTGAGTACCGACGGCGAGCCAAGCAACATACCACCCAATTTAGATAATATAAACGAATGGTTCCTCATGTAGGCGATTGGTGCCAGCAAGTGCACCGTTCGAACCTTGTCATTGTACCATGGCAGCGAGGACATGAGCACAAAGTAAGTTGTTGTGCCCTGTGAATGGGCAACAAAATGCAACGATTTGCTGTCACTCACAGCTAGGGCAAAATCCAACATGGCAGCCAGATCGTAGACCCCAATCTCATGCCAGCTGAATTTCCAGAAATCCGATGTGTCCGGATGTATATGCTTATGTTGCCGAGAATAGGTATTGCCTCTTGCATTGCCTAGCCAAACATCGTAGCCCGCATCGGCGAACATATAGGCAAGCGACGTCTCCGGTCCATTGATGATCCAATCATCAGAGGCACAGAGTATGCCATGCTGTAGAAATACCACAGGCTTCTTCTTCTCCTGTGTTTGATTCATCGCCTGCAACTTAGGAGAAGTGGGTATCCGATAGATCGTGAGTATATAGTCATCCGGCGTGTGGACTGTGTGCTCCTCCACAGGATAGTTGTGATTCGTTATGAGAGACGCCTACAAAGAAAGCGAGACATTTCATATTTATATATAGTAGATGGATACTATAGATAGTATTTGAGTAAATACAGTTGAACTTCCCTAAACCGAAAAAATAAAATTACAATTGCTGTTCTATTTCTGGGTTGCCTGAACTTGAGCAACGCTCAATATATTTTAAAATGTCTTTCTTTAATTTGAATTAAAAATATATATATTTTTATTTTATTTTTACAAATTTAATAAAACTTTAAAATGTTTTTTTTTTGTAATTTAATTTAATATTTTAGTTATTAATATATTTGTTATCGAAATTTTGCAATTATTTAATTTAAATTAAAAAATAGTTATACAATTTAATAAATATCTTTTTTTATTACTTACAAATTTAATAAAACCCTAAAAATGTTTTATTGTTTAATGTTTTAGTTATTAATATATTGGTTATCGACATTTTGCAATTAGTTTATATTAAGTGATTTATTATTTTGTTAAATATTTCAAACATATTTATTAATAATATAATAATAACAATAATAATAATAATAATAATATATTTTATTTCTTTATTAATTGTGTCTACTTATTTTGTGCATATTTATTTATTTATATAATCCTATATTTATTTACTTAATATGTGAAATTTTCAAATTTTTTGTTAGATAGTGTATATCATTTATGAGCTTAACAAAAACTCTTCTAAGCTTTTTATTTCGTTTGCCGAGGAAAATGCTTGAAGATCACACCACTTTTTTATTGCCGAAATATTTTACCCTAACATCACGTCAATATTTCGCAAACTTGATTGCGATCAAAGTTCAAGTGTTTAATTTTTATTAGCTTTTGCTACCCGCTAATGTTTCCCAGGTGGGTGTTTAAACGATCGTAAGATACTTTAGGTGAAAATGAAGATTTGTTGTTATTGCGCTCTCTACATCGCGCTCTTTTGCGGAATTCTCTGGGCCGATAATCGAAAACAAAAGCTTAACGAAGCGTTTCGTTCAGTTGAGAACGCAGCACTCACCAACAGAGTATATAGAAAAGCAACGGATGGCAAAGTCCAAGCACACGCAGCGCGTCATCAGCAAAACTTTGCCAGTGACAAAGACAGCGCAGCAGCAGAGCGCCGTTAGTGGAAGTGCGGCGTGTGCCATTCATTACTGTGAGGGGCGTGGCAGAAAAGTTTAGCAAGCAAAGCTCTGTTACGCTGATCGTAGGGGTTGTGGGCGGGCAGGCAGCGAGGCCATGCATGTTCGTACTTCAACTCTCTTATCAGAAAGAGCGCACATTTTATTAGGCACAATCAGCTGATGTGCGTAGCTGCTACTGTTGTTACTGCTGTTGTTGTTATTGTCAATCGGGTGATCGCAGCTGCTTTATGAAATTAAGTACGCAGCGCACATAAAAAGCACATATAGAACTAAATACATTAATGAAAAGAATAAACTATCCTAGACTAACTAAATTCAGATTTAAAGAACTTGTTGGAAATGTCATCGGAATGTGTCAAGTTTTTATTTAATTATTTATTTTATTTTATTTAATTATTATTATTACGACATATAATAGTATTTGTAATATTTATCTATTTTATTATTTATTTGGTTTAGTATTTATATTTTTAAAATTATTTTTAACTTCTACCCACAAATTTCTAACAGTGCAGCCCACATGATTCTATATTTCTGCATTTGCCTATTAAATAAACTTTTCTCATGTAGCTTTTATATATGTTATGTTTGGCTGATATTTTGGCTAATCAGACAAGTGAGCGGAAGAGGGGCCAAAATAATATAATATTATGCTCTATATATACTGGAATCTCTACACACTTATACATATATATATATAAATGATATATATTTATGTATGGGTTATTATGTCTTATTGTTGTTTTTAGTAGAACACGCGGTTCCACCATGAGAACTGGCACAGCCTAACTTTGTTATCAGCCACATTTATAATATGCGAGGGAGGTGCAAAATATATGACTGATATGGATGGGGAACATAAATAATTATATTATCAGCTGATCAAAGTTAAAGTTGGCAAATTTCCGGAATCTATCAGTCACGATATTAAGCTCTTGTAAAATTACTCATCAGCAAATGATCTCAGCTCTTATCTTTAGATCATTATGCCATTTCGAATATATAGTAAATACGTATATAAATAATCTTGAGTTGCAATCAGCTCATTCAATGCTATAATTTCATCATTTTCAACAGTCATTCTGCCTTACTTCTCTCTTTTCATTCAACTCTTTGTGTCTGTTATATGTATATATGCATATAAATAATCGCCGAAAGTAATTGATTAAGAGAGCAACTGTTTGACTGGCTGCTAGTACGCCATGTTTATTATGCCCAAGCCAAAGTTCACGATAATTATGAGTCAATTGCAAATATCTTATCGATATACAGGTATCACATATATATATATATATATATATGTATATATTGATACCCAATTGTCTGACATTTGCTACACAAATCGATAAGGTCTAGTTCCAACTTAAGAATATTTATTCGGCAAAGAGTTGTGCATAGATTGCTGGTTATTGGGAATATAGAAATGGTCTATAATTACTTTATAAATATTTCAGTTGCGCAATTTAATTTTGAGATTCAATTTAATTTAAGAGATACAAAGATTATGAGAACATTTTCTAAAGGAAGGAGTTACGGCAAAAAATGTTGCATTTTTTATGTCTTTTAATATTGATATATTTACCAATATATGTATGTATTGGTAACTCAAATAAGAACTTACTCATTTGATAAATATTTGACTTTAATTTAATTTCATTTGAAAGGCAATCGAAAAGTGCATCGAAGTTCTAATAAGCCGCTAGTCGAAAAAGCTTAGCCTTGGCCCTAATAAAAGATCTCAGCAAGCGAATATAAAAATTGATATATATATATATATAGATTTATACATAAAAAACGATTATGAAATATAAAGTATATGCAAATACTGGCTATTTTCCAAGCCTTTTAATTCATTCTAAAGCAAGCATTTATTTTTTATATGTGGTTTTTATAACCCAGTTACCAAAATGATAGCTAAAACTTGCTATTAATTTTAACCGTAAAGTAATGCAAGCTTCGTCTATTACCTCAAAGTCTTTTAAGGTTTATTACGCTAGGTAAGATACTTGAAAATGAAATGAAAATGAATGTGTAACACGTAAATATAATGAAATTTTACGAGCTGTAAAATATGAAGTATACGCTCGCTTGGCCAGTTGGCTGCAACTATTTTTCTTTCAGTTAGTACAAAGCTTGGCCAATTGCTTATTGGCAACTACACTTCGTAATTCGTCAGACTTGTTGGCCAACTCGAACTAAGGCTAACTAACAACTTACCGTTACTTTGAGGCCATCCACCGGTTCGATTTGTGCGCTTAACAGCAGCAGCAGCAGCAATGCCAAAAACAACATTTGCAGCATTTTGATGTTGTTGCTGATGTTGCAGCTGCCTGTTATTCGCCTTGTTGTTGCTGTTGTTGACTGTTGCATTTTAATGCACATATTTTGTAACTCTCATCCAAAGACTGACCCACTTGCCGAATATGTTGCAAGGCCCAGGTCCGCGTCGCGGCCTGTCCCGTTAGCTGCGGCAATAACTGTATATACCGAAAAAAGCCGAATCCAAAAACAAAATAGAAAAATATATAATTGTAAAAAATGCTTATAAAAATTGTGCCTCATTTTATAAACTTTTTATGTTTGCTACGATTTCACTTACACTTTTTCCCCAAAAAGGTTTATGCGCTGATAAGTTTCCTCAATCAGAAGGGGTATTTCAGCAGTGCTTATTGATCAGCTTATATATAATATATATTTATATGATTGCTCCTTGCTTGGCTTTGCTTTGTTATTAGTTGTGCGTAATTTAAATAATTGCGGTCAGTTTGATTTATTTTCGAGGATTTTTGTGTTTCGCCTATTTTTATTGTAATTCTAATTATTTTATTTTTGCTCAAGGGCACAGCAATATATAATTGAATGTGTGTGTGTTTGTGTGTGCGCTGGCGATTAACTTCAGGAAATTCGCACTCACACGTAAATATTTGAGCTCTGGCAGCTGATTACAATTGTTCTTGACGTCAATGTCTCCTCTACATATTTTGGTGAGCCGCAGGAAAACCTATAAATACATAACATAAGCACATATACCCTATAAATATATATATGACCTATATATGTATATATATATATATTATATATATATAATTTAATATACTAAACATAGCTAAAAAAAAATTGAATAATCATATTTTTGCGTGTGACAATTTTTTTTTAAGTCAAACTTAATCCCATCCATATAGCAATGATTCGAAACAAAGATTAATAAATGCTCTTTCCTTTATATGATAATATATATAAATAAATTATATATTTTATATGTATGTGTAATGTGTGTTAAGTGGGTTAAGCCCTATATAAAATCTTAGAAAACAAAAAAGAAAGAAAAGAAAAAGTCGAATGTTTCAGTCGGGCTCAAACGACTCCAAATACTCTTTCACGGGTTAAAATTATTAAACTTTTTAAGCATCAATGTTTTTTAGGAGAGGATGTTTTATAAAAAGGATGTCAGATAAAGGAAGGTATTTATTCAAATTTCTTCTAATTCTTTTGGTCACTCTGTAGAAAATATCAACAGTAAATTATAATTTTTTTGGTTTTTAGTTGAAGATAAAGTTTTCCCGTATCCCATTAACTTATTAGCTTGATAATTTTTACTGCCAGAGTTTGAAGGGTCTAGTCACAATATCAGGTACTCATAGACGAAAAAGCCAATACACTTTTTTTTTTCAATTTGTGAGCGGGTAAAATCATTTCTTATCAGCTAATATGCGAATTTTTCTCTATTATATTTTGCTTGCTGTACAATTGTTTTTGTTTTAAAAGGTAAATGATCTTTTAAAGATTAAAGATGAATAATGAAAAACTAATTTGTTAAGTAGACGTAAAGAGCCCCAGTTAAATAAAATTTCATAGAAACTTGCTCAGATACATAAACATTTAAAATTCATATCAAATTATCAAAAGCGGAAAATAATTTAAGTTTTAATAATATTAAGCTTCTTTAAAAATGAAAGTGTATTTCCTATTGATATCGTTTTAAGCAATTAATCTTCTAGCTTAGAAATTGCATAATCTGAATGGAAGGAAAGCAGCAAATTTATGTAATTTGTTTTTATAAGTTTTAACATCTAATTTTTAAAAATTACGTATTATAAAACTAGTTTAAAATCACATTGGAGCTGAAAGGAAACTTCTACATCAAAAGTCATGAAGCAATACTTTTTCACAAGAAATAATTAAAATAGTAAATTTTTATTGAGAGCTATTTCGCTATCCGAAATTGAGGTTTTTATAGATTTTTGTAGCATTTGTGTTATTTAAAACAATTTTTTCTTGCATTTAGACAAAGATCTCTTTGATACATGCGCCGATTTCTCTTCACAACGATCGTGATGAAGTAATTCGAACTCAAGCCTTGTTTATGGAAAGTTTATAGAGCAGTTAACTCTAAGTTTTTATGCAAAAAAAGTTGATTATTGACCGCAGATAACCATTTAAATTAAGTCCAAGTCAATTGGACAATTTTCCAAAAATATTTAATTGCATATGATTCGATTAGCAAGTTATGAAATTATCTCTGATATTTCCCACGCATGCCCCCTGAGCTATTCAATAAAATGGTATATATGTATATATATATGTATATATATATATATATATATATATATAAATTTTGCGTATGTGCGTGTCTTCTATTTTTTACGCGCTTGACACTTACACGCGAAACATTTCCATTTGTTTCTTAAACCATTTGTGGAAAAGTCGTTTGAAATCTGTTCAGCCACTCACTTGAAAAATCCAAAAATCAAAACAAATTTCCACGACGACAAATTGTTGTTTGTTTTTTTTCTTTTGAATTTTTTACTTTTTCCAAATTATTTATAGATCGTTTACCGTTGCCCGCGTGTTGTTTCAGCGCGTTTTTTTCCAAACTAAAACTAGCTTAGACCCGCAGCCCGTTGTGCTGGTGCTCGAAATGCAAAGCTCTGACGAATAAAAGCTTTCGGTCAATCGCGTTGCCGGCGATCGCAGAAGCTCTCAGCACACATATGACTGCAGTAGCGAGAGAGCTATATATAAAGGGTAACAGCTGTTGTTGCTGTGCAGTGCGCTCACTGCTCTCTTTACATCCTCTCTCTCTCTCTCTTCCCCTGTTGTTGGTGCTGTTGCTATTTTGCATTCTAGAACTTTGTTTGTAAACAATTACTTAATGCCGCATACTTGCACGCATTGCCGCACAGCGCAGCGAATTTGCTGCCCAAAATATAGACAGCACTCTAGCTAGCAGGTCAAGTTCAACGGGAACCGGTTGTCTCACTCTCGCTCTGTCTTTTTGTGCCGTTCGCTCTTCTGCTTATTGCGCCCACTCGCTTTGCTGCGAACCAAACAAAAATTTGACGTGTGTAATAAAAGAGCTTGGCGAATTTCAAGGTAATTTGCGTAACATTTGCTTTTGCTTAGTTTTTCGCTTGGCCAAATAATTGCCCTTAAAATGTTGGCAAAATAATGAGCAACAAGTCACTTTAATGGAGACATTAGTTAGAGACAAAAGTCAGCTCAAGCAAGACGAAATCTTGCTTATGCATGCTAAAAATGAATTTATATACCCTGTTAATAATAATGTGTATATAGCAATGTATATATATATTGCGTTTGTGTGGAGTTTGTGTAAAATACAATTGCTATTAAGTTACGAACTTGTTTAGGGTTTGAAAAGAAGTATTGAAAATAAGTATACGTAGAGATATTAAGCAGATTGTCTTAAACTAGTAGTCTGGTTATCAGAGTATATTACATTATGGAAATTCAATGTATAATAGTAGAAAGGGCGTGGCAAATACCACAAAGTACTTACATCTTGAATGTCGAGCCGATCTCTCTGACTACAGACTCCTGTTACTTGGTCTAAACTCAAAACAAACTTAAAATTTTTGCTGCTCTGCTGTTTGATACACTTTACATATTCCATCCATAACGAAATCTTAATAACCCAAGCTAATCTGTAGTACCTTGAAGTGTCTTAATACTTAGGTATTCCCCCAATTTCATGGGGTGGTCTTAATTCCTTAAATCAGATATGCCTTTGTAACTTAATGTATTTCTGCACCTCTGATCCTTACTCTGTTATTCACAACTTTGAATCGCTTTAGGAAATCCTTTGGACATGCTTGCGCCCTAACAAATGCATTTATTTAGTCCACGGAGCACTCTCTAATTTAGTAAAAGGCTTTACTGCATTCAGCCATAAAATTTGAATAAACTACAATAATAACATTGGTGAAAAGTCGATAATCTGATACCCTGTAGGTTTCACTGATATACAAAATGTTTATATCTAATGTGCTGTTAATCTAGGGTATTTTTGTAAATAAATAAATTATTGATCTCTCATATCTATTTCATAGACTACAAAAAATAATTGTTGAGATTACAAGGAGCTCCGACGGACTTTGTTATTTGGCTGTATAACCTGTGCGAAACAATTTTTAGACAAACTGAGCTTTTATGAAAGGATATATCTAGGAAAAGTAAAAAAATATTCTTTCTATATGCAAGAGCCTTTAAAACTTAAAAGCTCTTACGATCGTTATACCCAATACATACTTCAAATAGGTTGCAAATGTTTATACATATATTGAAAAGGTTGTAAAACATTTGTATAGCTTGACAAAGAGAACCGCTTTGAGCCTTGAGATACTTAAAACCCATCATAAATCATTAATTAGTTTTTCATTTATTCTCTTTTAATTTCTTCTAACTATGAATCGGCTAAGCTTGCCTTTGCTTTTAGGTTTTAGCTCGACACTTCAGAACGTATATACCCTTCGCTCATTCTTGCAGAGTATTGCATAAATGAGCCTGCAATGCGCCGTACTTTACGTTAGTCACGCAAAAATGTGCAGCGTGATGCACTTGATTGTGTTTATTTATTATGCAAATTTGCATTAATTTTTTCGCTGCAACATGTGGCATGGTAATTGTTGCAGTTGTTGCAATAGCAAAGCAGCAGCCACGGCAACAGCAACAGTTGCTGCAGTTGGGTCCTTAAACTGCATTTATGAAAACTGCATTCGAGGCCAATTCAGATCCCTCGCAAGGACATTTTTGATGTTGCATCTTTTGTTTAGGCCTAAAAATAAACACGTTGATAGACAATTAAAAAATGTTGCTTACTAAGCTATCAATAGTTTGGCTCAGGGGCGTGGCCGCTGGGGGCAGAAACTACTAAGCAAAAAATTTCCTTAAAACCGAAAGCAAAAGCAAACGCAGCCCGCTGCCAGGCCCAAGTCCAAGTCTAAGCACTTTGTGCAAATTGTCAACGCTGTGCGTCCTTCTACGCATACGTGCAGCAGCAACAACCTCGCCAACAACAATGTGGCAACAAAGGCTTCAGGTTATTGCATGCATTTTAATTAGTAGACAAGCCAAGTGGGCTGCCACTGTGTTGCACTGTGGCACTGTGGCATCCTCATATACATACAACGCATCTAAAGAACCAGATGAAAGACAAGCAGCGAGTGTTGTTCAAATTGTTTGGCGGAACTCAGGAATTAGGGAAAAAGAAGGAGAAGGAGAAGGAGAAGGAGAAGGAGAAGGAGAAGGAGAAGGAGAAGGAGAAGGAGAAGGAGAAGGAGAAGGAGAAGGAGAAGGAGAAGGAGAAGGAGAAGGAGAAGGAGAAGGAGAAGGAGAAGGAGAAGGAGAAGGAGAAGGAGAAGGAGAAGGAGAAGGAGAAGGAGAAGGAGAAGGAGAAGGAGA